ACAGACAACCCATAGTTTTCTCTTTCCCACTCTGTGAAGTGAAGTTTCCCAGCACTACTCAAGTTAGTGCTTTGTAGTGATGCTATCTTATCCTGTCCTGGGGCTGCTGAGGGCTTCAAAGCCCAGTCCAGCACCTTCCTTAGGATGGCTCTTCACAGCCAGCCTCTGAGCCTCCTGAAGCCCCTGGAGTAAGGCACTGCAGAGGGGTAGGAGCTCTGCTAGGATCAGGACTAGGCTATTTTCTTACCCTGTTTATCACACACTGCCGTTGGATGATGGTTCCAGATTTTTGAGGTTGAGCACTTCATTTAATATCAAAATTCTGTGACCTTTAAACATTTTTATTACATTTTATTTACTTTGTGTACATGTGTGTTTGTGTCTGTGTGTGGGGGCATTCATGTAGAGGTCAGAGGATGACTACTGGGAGTAGGCTTTCTCCTTCTACTATGTGATTCCTGGGGATCGAACTCTGGTCTTGAGGGTTGTGACAAATGCTTTCTGCACCAAGCTGTCTTACTGGCCCCTCTGTGACTTTTTACATGCTACTGTTCACTTAGAACATGTGGTTGACAATGCAGCACAGCCCTGGGGAGTCAGTAATGCTTTTAAAGGGATGTGTGCATTGCTGGTCACACATCAGGTGGCATGTTAGTGTCTTAGGGTGCCAGCTAAAAACCACAGGTCTTTGCACAGGTGGCTGCCAGATGGTGGGTTGGGGAGCAGATGGGTGTCCTGTCCAGTAAGCAACTGAGTACTGAGTTCACCATCCCTGAACCTCTTGGAGAGAGCCACTTGGTACCACAGCTTGCAACATACCTGAGGCACCTTTGTGCCCAGGATGTCCTGGTGAAGTGCTGGAATACAGAACATACTTCAGCCTCATGCATCCAGGACATAGGGCTCTGTCAGAAGGAGGGTGGCCTTCCTTCCAGCTAGTATGGGTATGAGAGCTGGCAAGAAGTGGCTCCAGGCTGTCTTCTTGAAGTTTCCCTGCCAACCTCCTGCCCAGAAACTCTGAATGTGCTCTTGGGAATGGCTTACAGCAGATGAGCTCTCTCCTGTACCCTGTCCTGGCCCACACTGTTCCTTGTATACCATCCATGTGTGAGTCTGGTACCCACCTGGGCTGCTGCCAGGGCTCAGGGGTTTTATTCAGTGAAGGGTTCATCTTCCTGGTGCTCCAGCTGTACTGAAAAGACTGAGGCCAGTTTTCCTTACAACACATGGGCTCATCCAGGGGAGGTGGGGAGGGAGGACAGCCCATGAGGGGAGCAAAATATCTTGTACTACAAGTGTGGGGACACTTGCTGGCTGAGTGGCCTTGGGCAGGTCTTTCACCCTGTGGGAAGCTCTGTTCCTTATCTGTCAGAGATGCTAATCTCAGCCCTACCTGAGCAATTTCATTGGAGTTAGTGGTAGGAATCTAAGGTGATGGTGCAAAGTATCTCCAACCTTAGGGAAGCCTGAGGCCCTTGCCTCCAACCTGGTGAGCTGGGCCCCTATATACATACCATGCATACATTTACATATATACCATACAGACCCAGGGGATACCTGAAGTAGATGTGATGACTGGTTCTTTCTTCCTCCCTATGTCCCCACCCCAGGTGTCTGCCCCCATGATCCTTAACTTTTGGGTGAGTCTAACTTCTAGCGTTGGGTTTTCAAATCAGCCAGTTTTCAGAGTCTAAGCTATTGGTGAGGAAGGAGCAAGCTGGCCCTGGATTTGAAAGCTCAGCATGAAAACTCATCTTTCTTACCATGAGATTTGTTCTATATTGTTTTAAAAAAAAAAATTGTGTGTGTGTGTGTGTGTGTGTGTGTGTGTGTGTGTGTGGTTGGGGTAGGGGTAGTACATGTGTGCAGCCATGTGGAGATCAGAGGGTAACTTATAGGAACTGATTCTCTTTCAGCATGTGGGTCACAGGATCAAACTCAGGTCCTCAGGCTTAATAGGAAGTGCCTTTAAAGGTAGGGCTGGCTTTCCTTCACCTCCAGGTGACAGGTGATGACTCTGTGAGTCTGCTTGTCCCTGGGCAGCCCTGAGCAATGGCCACACAGTCTAGGAAGGACCCAGGTCTGAAGTGATGTTGAGGAAGGTATTATAAGCCCTCTTAGCACAGCACATTTCCTACCAGTGGTTACACCAAAAACTACAGTCAGCTGAAACCTTGGGAGTCCCAGTTCAGACTCAGCAGTTTCTCCTAATTTCTTTCCCAAGGGGCTGAAGGCGCTTTTCCTTACCTGTGATATTATCACAAAAGGTCCCACCAGCTGAGGGTGGAGGCAGGGGGCCAGGGAGCGTCTTTCCTTAGTGGCAATTGGAGGCTCACAGAGGGGAGGCTCAGAAAGGAGATTGGCTCCCCAGGCCCTGGGACCTGGTTTGCTGGTTTCAGTAGAGAAAGGGTTTGTTTAAGAGCCTGTTGTGTAAACAAGATCACAGTAGGATAAGCTGAGCAGAGCCAGGGAACAAATTGTTTCTGGGGCCTGGGCAGACCCAGCCTTATCAAACCCTCAGAGAAGCCTGACTCTTAGGAAACTGCAAACCTGTTGGGACTTCTGTTCAGGGGAGAGGCTAGCCTCCCTGTGCTTGCCTGGGTCCTGGGTGGTGCCTCCAAAGTTTCACCTGGGTCCCAGTGAGTTCTCTTTGCCTTGGCTGTCTGATGTTGAACAGGATCTAGACCCCTAATGTCTGCGCCCTCTGGAAAGTTCATACTCTACAGTGTGGCTCAGGTTGGTCTGGTTGGAGCTGGGACTCTGCCCTATCTCTGACTTTCCCTCCCAGGCAGGGAGTCAGAGGGTTAGGAGAGGGTGGACTTGAGGCCTCGAATGAGGAGTATGCTTTGATCTTGGGGACTGTGAGCCTGGATGGTAGGTACAGTTGCTAGAGGGGACAGCCATGGGGAAGGCTAGCATGAGAATTTGAAGCACCATGTGGGGTAGTTTATGTAGACAGGATGTGACCTGGAATGAGGTGAGGGGATAGGCTCTGTTCCTGTGGATGGAACACAATGGGCCATGAGTGTCCATTGGTGATGGTATGGGGTGCTCTGTTGAAGCTGAGCCACAATAAACCACACCTTTCTTGTACATGAAAGGCTTGTTTAGGCTCAAAACCTTTGTCCCAAGGGGAGAAGAACTTGGTTTTACTTTGTACTTTCGAAGGAAGTCCAGTGTTATTTCTGGACTTGCAGTTTCTACACGTGCTGAACTAACTCTACGACCCGAGTTCCTGGATGTACAACTTACACCCTCCACAGCTCTGCCCAATAGGTCCGATGGCCCTGCCTGACCCTTCTCTTCTCCACTGATGAATGAGGCCCATGGGGCTGTGTCCAGAGGCCTGCCAGGCTTCCTGGACCAATGTGACTCTGTTCCCTTGGTGCCTAGCTTCAGATGGGCCACTCTTATGGGTTGGCAGAGGCTCCTGGTGAACTGGCTCCCTCCTGAAACCCCACATGCTGCTGTCTGTGTACAGGAGCCTCCTGGCATCCAGGGTTTTTGCAGACCCCAGAATCCTTCATCCTCAAGTTGAGTGTCTCTCTTTTTTTACTTAGAGCAGTGGCCGTGGACACTTACTACCTGCCAGGCTCTACTATGTCCTTTACATTCACTGTCCTTTATGTTGCTGCAGTTCTGTGATGCATGTTAGTATGGGCAGCATTTTACAGATGGGGCAACCAAGACCATAACATATTTAGTGTCATCCACAGGCCCACTCGGCTGGTAAGTGACAGAGCTCAGAGGCTCTCTGGAGCCCTTAAGTCAAACTGTGTGCTTTATTTTTTTACTTCTCTTTTGTTTCATTTTGAGATAGCATCTCACTATATAGCCCTGGCTAGCCTGGAACTCACTGTGTAGGTGAGGCTGGCCTCAAATCCTCTCTGCCTCTGCCTTCTGAGTGTTAGGATTGTAGGCACATGCCTCTAAGCCCAGCTGTTGTGCTTCTTTATTCCTTCTTTGTTCTGGTCTGTGCTGGGGCCCTTGTAAGATGCACTGTAGTGAGTGGGGCTATTCAGGTTAGTCTCATTCTGAGCAGACTCCTGTCTCCCCTCCCTGCCACCTGCTCTCCTGGGCCTCCTTGTACCTGCTGTCCTGGAGCCAGTGCTGTGGGCAGCTGTGGTCCTGACTGCCCCTTCCTCAGCTTGCAAAGCTGGGGGTGGTGTTCTACCTCCCCATGTCCCTGCCCAAGTCCTTTGGGACTATGTTTGCACTCCACCACCTGCAGCCTCTTGGAGCCAGTGCAGGAGCAGGCAAGGCCAACCACATTCCTGTGCCTCCTGTTGCCAAGGAGAACCTATCCCACTGCCCATTTACTGGAGCCTCCTTAGTACAAAGCCCCTTCCAGATTAGCTTCTACTGTCCCCAGCCTGCTGGACACCCTTTTTTCCCCAAGAAAGCTCTAAGAAAGATATTACCTTGAGCAGAAGGCCAGGATCCAGTCCCTCCCTGTGAACAAGAAAATGATCCTTGTAGTCAGGCCAGGGCCACCCTGTGTGGGCAGAGCTGCCTCAGCATAGACAGCTCTGCCAGGCCCAGCCCTGCCTTTTACACCTGTGGCTTCAGTGCTCACGCCTGGTGTCTAGCTCACCTGGACATTGCTTCTTTGGGTATAGATGGTCTTGGGATTATTTGTGGAAGCTCCCCACTGATGACCCCCAGAGCCTGATTGTCAGGGTGGGATGGGCTGATGGGTTCCATTGGGGTCACTGCTTGTGTTACCAGGTTGCACTCCCTGACTAGACAGAGCATCTGGGAGTTAGGACCATGTCCCCACAACATGCCTTGTACCAGACTGTGTCATCATAGCTTCAGGGGCATGAAGAGGACCAAGGGGCTGCACAGAGCTGAGGGTCCCAGAGCCACATGCAGTAGCTTCGTACATGGATAATGATTTGGACAGGTTAGCTGAGTCCATTCAGCTACCTAGGATGTGAACCGAGACATACTGGGTGTTGGCTGAGCATCTGCTCATAATTTTTTTGATCTTTTTCCAGCAAATTGTGGCCACAAATGTGCCCCCTGAAGACCAGGATGGCTCCGGGGATGACTCTGACAACTTCTCTGGCTCGGGTGCAGGTGAGGCTGACACAGAACACTAAAATGGCCACAGACCATGGCTGGAGTAGTGGGCAGGTTGTCTCCTGGCTTTAGGAAAGCCCCCTTCCTTTTCCCACCCTGGCCCCACTCAACAGTCATTAGGATATTGTAAGAAAGCTGCCTGGACAAAGGAAACCTCTAGGTAAAAGCTGTGGGCAGCCCCTAAAGCCAACTTTGGAAGGAGTTTGACTCCTCCAAGCCTTGGTGTGAGATGGGCATAGTACTTTGACCCAGAGGTTGTTGGGAACTGCATGCAGCACAGAGCCTGCTGGCTATAGATCTTCCTTTACCTCCCTCTCTAGATCTTAGTTCTTTGGAGGTGAGGGAGTCGCCAAACTGGAGCTAGTCAAAGAGGCCTTCCAGAAGAGCTGTCAGTTTGGGACTGTATCAGTCACTTTTCTGTTGCTGTGATAGAAACACTGACGCAAGCAATTTATAGAAGGAAGAGCTTGTTTGAGCTTATGGTTCCAGGGGAATTACAGTTCGTCATGGCAGGGAGGCATGGTGGCTGGAGGTGGCTGGAGCAGCAGAAGCAGAAGCTAAGCTCTCAAATCATCACACAGGCACAGGAAGGAAGAGAGCGACTGGAGATCTGGCAAGGCTTAAGAACTCTCTAAGCCCACCCCCAGTGACATGCTTCCTCCAGGATAGCCACCTTCTAAAACCTCCCAAAACAGCGCCATCATCTGGGGACAAAATGTCCAATACTTGGAGCCTATGGGGGACATTTTCATTCAGACCATCACAGGGACCTCAGAAAAGTCAGCAGCAATGGAAAAAGTACTAGCTGGGAGGTGGAATGTAGTCATGTGTTGTTGAAAGCCCAGGCCTTCTAGGAAGAGGGCAGGATGGGTGTGTATACTGGACTAAGGCCCTGTCCTCTATGGTACCCTACCCCTGTGCTCGTGGAAGAACTCCTTCCCAGATTCCTGGAGTCTTTCTCAAAGCTCAAGAGCAGGCTGTTCCCAGGCAGGTACAGCCACAAAGGGCAGCTTTCCTGGTCTGTTTTCCATTTTGAGTTCAGCCTTAGCTGTTCACCCTGGAGGACTCACCCTGAGTCCTGGCCCAGGTCCCAACCTCCTTACAGCATGAACTTGGCTGGGTTTGGTGCTTGGGAGCCTCACCATCCTGACATGCTCCACTTCTGGCCCCACAGGTGCTTTGCCAGATATCACTTTGTCACGGCAGACCTCCTCCACTTGGAAGGATGTATGGCTCCTGACAGCCACACCTACAGCTCCAGAGCCCACCAGCAGGGATGCTGAAGTTGCCTTCACGTCCATCCTGCCAACTGGAAAGAAGCAGGAGGAAGGAGAGGCGGTGCTCCTCTCAGAAGTGGAGATGGGCCTCACTGGATGGGACAAGGAAAAGGAGGTCACTTCTGGGCCCAGGGAGACCACACAGCTCCTGATCACCCAGCGGGCCTCAACAATCAGAGTCACCACAGCCCAGGCACCTGTCAGCTCCCATCCTCACAGGGATGTGCAACCGGGTCTCCCTGAGACCTCGGCTCCCACAGCACCTGGCCAACCTGACCATCACCCTTCAAGTGTGGAAGATGGAGGTGCTTCTACTATCAAGGAAACTGCTGAGGATGGAGCTGTCAATCAGATCCCCACAGGGGAAGGCTCTGGAGAACAGGTAAGTGGCCTTTGTATTTCCTGGGACATTAGGTAGCCATTAGTTCTGGCACCTGGAAGCCTAACATCCTTTGTCTCCTATAAGCACATTGTACTCTTCAGAGCCACAAAGATGGGATCACAGGGTCCCAGTTTCCTCTTGCACAAAACAGACTGTTTACAAGATCAGCATAGAATCCTTAAAGATCACTCAAAAATTGGCTACCCAAACTTAACAATGGGGTGAAAGTTCTTCTGAGCCAAGTTTTTTTGTGTGTTAGAGCATCACGGAAATTTTCATATAAAAATATGTGCTTTATGTCATTCAAGGTGATATCTATACCCTGGCCATCCAGGGTCTGGTGTGATTGCATCCTGTGAGGGATGTTGGTTTTGGGGTCCTGGATGTCCAGACTGGGTGTGTCTGATGGGGTGGCAGGAGAACCCCAACAGGGTATGGTGATGCTATGTGTCACTGTTGTGGCAGTAGCTCTGGCCCAGTCTGATCCAACCCACCCTCCTGTAGGACTTCACCTTTGAGACATCTGGGGAGAACACAGCTGTGGCTGCCATAGAGCCGGACCAGCGGAATCAGCCCCCAGTGGATGAAGGTGCCACAGGTGCCTCTCAGGGCCTCTTGGACAGGAAAGAAGTGTTAGGAGGTGAGTCTTCTTTCATGTGGGTGGGGAGAGGCAGGCTGTGACTCTGGGGTGGTCTGGGCTGCAGTCATCTTCAGTCATGGGATGGGGATGACCACAGCCCAGGCCACCTCCTGTGCTGTCCAGCAGGGGAGGAACTGCTTCTGGGCCCAACTAGCTGCTGAGTTGAGCCAGCTTCTGTCCACTCCCTAGGTGTCATTGCTGGAGGCCTGGTAGGGCTCATCTTTGCTGTGTGCCTGGTGGGCTTCATGCTGTACCGGATGAAGAAGAAGGACGAGGGCAGCTACTCCTTGGAGGAACCCAAACAAGCCAATGGCGGTGCCTACCAGAAACCCACCAAGCAGGAGGAGTTCTATGCCTGATAGGGGAGCTGTTCTCCCCACTGCCCCTGCCACTCACTAGGCTCCTACTTGCCTCTTCTGTGAAAAACTGTAGGCCCTGGCCTCCCTGCCACCGCACCGCCTCCCCAGCACTCTAACCCTTCTGGCTGCTCTTGCCCTTGCAGTCTGGGGGTGTGTGCTGGGAGTAAACTCCGCTTCTCTGACTTCTGCCTAGAGGCTTGGGCGCAAAGGGTTTCTTGGATCTGACCTTCCCACTGCAGCCACACCTGGTGTCCCACCATTTGGACTCGTTTTCTCCAAATGGGAGCAGACCCAGCTCTGGAGAGAAAGGAGACTCAACTGTTTTGGACCTGGATGACCTACTGTGGCTGGAGGACCCTGGGGGCAGGTGGGGGAAGGCTTCAGCTGACAAACCATAGCACTTACCCATAGAGACAGCTGGGGGCATGGCGGGGGATGGAGTCTAGGGAATTCACTTTGCATTGTGGGGAGGTCTACTTTAGATACCAACTTGTTTTTGCACACGTTTCCTCTAGTTTCTCTGTTCATAGCCCCAGTAGACTTTACTTCTGGGGTAAGTCAAGTCAGTTGACTCCCTAATCTACATTCGGGAGACAGCATTGGGGGTAAGAAGACTGTTTCTCATTTTTTTTTTGTTTTTAAACTAGAAGAACCAAATCTGGACGCCAAAATGTAGTCTTAGTTTGTGTGTTGTCTCTGAGTTTGTCGCTCATGTGTGCAACAGGGTATGGACTATCTGTGTGGTGGCCCGTTAGTGGGGTAAGCCATCTCTTTTGACCAGTCATGCCTGTGTCCATGAACTCAGGGCCATGGCCATGGCCTGGGCCACTGCAACTTTGGAAGACCTTGTGTGAGAATTAGTCCTGGGGTTCTGTCTGGGGATGGAGGAGAAAGAAGACTGGAGTGAGTGGAAGGGTGCCAGGGTGCTTGGGACCTCTTGCCTTTGGCACCATCTCTGGGCCTACTTCCTCCTAGAAGTTGACAACATACATCTTGGGCACAGCTGGCACTGGCTTCTCCATCAAGAACCAAGTTCACCTTCAGCTCCTGTTGCCCTGTCCTGGACTGGAGCTAGGAATATTTCCCAAAGAGTGAGAGTCTTTTGCTTTTGGCAAAACGCTACTTAATCCAATGGGTTTTTCCCTGTACAGTAGATTTTGCAGATGTAATAAACTTTAATATAAAGGAGTCCTGTGAACTCTACTGCCTTTTCTTCTTCTCTGGGCTGGTGGAATAGACATGGCCAGCCTTTTCCCAAACCCTAGCAGTTCAGGGAAGTGTGGCTTGAGGCTCTGTGCCTTCACCTTACCAAGGGGAAGGATCCTGGGTCCAGAGTCACTTTGATTTATTTGGTTTTGTTTCGGCTAAACTTCTTTTGGAAGTTGGTAGGTTCAGCCAAGGTTTTACAGGGCCTGATGTCAGCCCTTCTAAGTAGCTGAGACCATAGCACAGCTTGACCTGGGGTCATTAGAGCCATGTTGATTTGCAGACAGCTGACATCTGGGACAGCCCTCCCACCTTTTCTGGGACACTCCTGAAACTCCTATTCCTCCTTATTTAACTCGACAATGTTCCAGCTGCTAAGGGGGCTGGTCTGTGCTCAGAGAAATGTAACAACCAAACAAAGAATCTGTATCCTGTGCACCATCCTGGGACTTGTAGCCAGATTTTATGGCTGAATGTGATGTGGGGGGTGGGATCTGGGACTGCACTTAGCTGTGGGCTTGTGAGACCGTGCCCAAGCCTCAGGCTGGGCCCATTCATGTAACTGCAATAAATGGTACGTGTCCTTTTGGACAGCAGACACTTTGGTGGTGGTGATGGCGTCTCTTCTTGTTCTGACAATGTCCTGCTTTTTGGAGTGGGAGCCTAACTGGGCTGTGTTCTGGCTTGGTACCAAACAGTGGAATTAGCACTGGTTCCTCTGTCATAGGGGAAATCAGAGTCCATCTCTGCCATCCTTGTCCAGGCCCCAGGCAGGATTTTGGGCTTGCCTTCTCCCAGAACGCCTGGCTTTGCAGCTGTTCAGCTCTGCTTGCTTATGGCATCACCTCCAGCTAGATTATTCCCTTCCTGGAGGTCATGAGGGCTCCCTACTGCCTCTGAATTTCAAAGTTTGCTGTCTGTTCTGTTTGCTCATTGTGCAAGTCCCAAAAACTTTTGCTAACAGTCTCTTGTGCCAGAGGCTCACAAGTATTGTCAATACACTGGGAGAAAAAACAGTGAAAGATCTGAGGGTTGGAAAAGCACAGCATACTGAGGGAGCCCCCATATTCCAGAGCAACTAGTGCCTCCTTTTACTCATCTAGCCCTGGGCATGTCCTAGGTATATGTCCTTGGCAGTGCAGAGTGGGAGCGACCACTGCACCTATTGATATGGTAGGGTCTTCAGGCCCCAGATAGCTTAGCAGGTGGCAGTCTCTGACCAAGCACTGTATATGGAGTACAGGTTGCTGGGTGTGGCGATGTCTAATCCCAGCAACTGTTGAAACTGAGGTGGGAAGCTTGCCGCTTGAAGGCCTCCTGAGCTACAGAATGAGTTTAAAGCTACCCTAGTGAGACCTTGTCTCAAAAAGGAAAAAAAAGGGGAGGGGCAGCAAGGTGGCTCAGGTAAAGGTCGTTGCTGCCAAGCCTGATAACCTGAGGCAGATTCCAGGGACCCTAGTGGAAAGAACAAATTCCTGCAAGTTGTCTTTTGACCTCTACATGTGTGCTGTGGCATATGCACATCCCCCCTCCAAAAAAAACCCGAAATTTTTTATTTTTAATTAAGATTTTTAAAGTATAAAGAACCTTTAATCAGCACTCAGGAGGTAGAGGCAGGCAGATCTCTGTGAGATCAAGGCCAGCCTGGTCTAAGTAAGTTCCAGACCAGCAGGAAAAAAAAAAATGACTGGAGCTATAACTATATAGTATAGCTCAGTAACCCTATGTTCAGTGACCAATACTGACCAAAAAAAAAGTCTCCTGGGTCATTCATTTGTTCAACAAACACTGAAACAAGAGTGCTGGTGTTCTGTCGGCCCTGGGCTGGGTAGTGAAGATACAGTGGCCACCCACATATCTATTAATTAGCGTCTGTTCCACACCTTATAGAAAGACCTACAGAAGAAGCTAAGAAGTGGAGGTGTTTAAGCATCACCTTAAGGCACCTCAGGCAGCCTCACACAATCTGCCTGTCCCTCCCCACCTCAAGCTTGCTGCCCTGTGTCCCATGGGGCCATTTTTTCCCTTTTCCACTTTTTCAAGACTCCCCTCTGCAGGGAGCAACTTAGCGCATTTGCTTTACCCCACCTTCAGCTGCTGCTACGGGGAGTCCACAGTGTGAGGTTTGCTGGTTCTCTGTGCAGAAAGTAGGACTCACTGGATTTCCCCCAAGAGTTCTTTCAAATTACTTTGTGAGCTGTCTTAGCATGGCTTGATTGTGTCACACTAATTTGCAGCTGGTTTCTGTTTGAGTTGAGTTGTCTGGGTCTCTGTACCTCTAGGGTTTTGCTCCGGATGTCTTGTCACATCCAGAGTGGAGATCCTGGACAACTATTCTTCCTACTCTCAGGGAAGCCATGGCCAGTGGAGACAAGAGATGTGAGAGTAGTGTCCATGACAGAACTCTCTGTAGGCTAGTAGGGATCGGGAGAGACAGGAATAAATGCCCGGCTCAGCATCTGAGTCACTGGAGCTCACTGAGGTGGCTCTTGAACTGAGTCTGGAAAAGCAAAGTACAGTTGGATTCTGATACAGGGGAGAGGCACCACAGGCAGAAGGCTTGCCTCAGTCAAAGGCAGAGCTCTAGAGGCCGCATGCTGGCTGGAAGGTTGGAAGCAGGTGCAGGAAGGGACTGGAGTGTGGTGAGGATGAGGGAAAGAGGAGGCCTTGCAGAGGGGTGGAGGAACTCAGAGCCCCTGGGTTAAGACTTAGAGGCAGAACTAGCATGATTTATGAGGTATGTCTCCAACTCATTGACACCTTGTTCCACATGCCCAAGGGGAGCCTGAGGAAAGAGATATGGGATAAGGGTGTCTTCCAAGCGAGCGGTCTTAGTGAGGGCTCATGAGAGAAGAGGGGATAGTAGTCCTTGAGGTGGGCAATCATGAAACTCCTAAATTAGGCACTGATGTTGGTTGACCCCAGACCAGCAACCTGGCAGAATAGGCCTCTTTGAAAGGTCTGCAGGTGAGCAGAATGCAGAGGCCCAGGGATCATGGTCACCTCTGGGGTGCCCTGTATACATGCACCCTGTCAAATCCTCTGTGCTCCTCTCCAGCTTGGCTCAAGAGGAGTGCTGGGTTGCCATGATGGGGGTGAGCTTCTGGTCCCTGGAGCTGGGAGGGGATCCTGAGCCAGCTACCTAGAGGGGTTTAGAAACTTCCCTGACCTCAATGGTCCTAAAGAGTTTTGGGCTCTGCCAGCTCCACCCAACTGTGGGAAAGTCTTTCTCAGGCTTTCTCCCTCCTTCCCCTACTCCCAACACCATGGCATCTTTCCATCTGTGTAGCTATCCTTGGCCACGCCCACTTATAGATGGCTGTGAGTATACAAGGATGGAGTTACCCCAATCAGGTCCTCAGCAGTTCTAGCCCACACTCAACTTCAAGGTAGGAAAGGCAAGTAAGTCCACACCATTGCTTCTGGGTCGCTCCTCCTGGGTACCTCTTGCTACCTGACCACTGTTTCCACAGTGGCTCACACTGCCCTGAGTGCTCCTTGCAGGCAGATGTTTTGTTGTGCAGGAGTATCTCTGGGGCGCTCACCATGTCTGGCTGGGCTGCTATCCTGTTCTGAAAGTCCAGCAGCCATTAGAAATGGGTGAAAAACACAAGACATCGCTCCATCTACCCTGTGAAGGTAGAATTAGAAGACACAGTGGGGTTGGTGGGAGAAGGACTTACAGGCTATCAGAGGGTGTGCTAATTCACATGGGTGTTTGGAGACTTGCATTGTAGCAACTACCAAAGCCAAACGTTCACTTGCTAAGGGTCCCAGTGAAATAAGAGCATGTGTATACCAAAAGGTACATAAGAGGATGCTCCAAGCATCTGTAGCCATCATAGCCCAGATACAGAAGCAAACTTCTATTAATAGGAGAATGGAAAATAAACAGTGGCATATTCATATAAAAGAATACTCCATGATAACTAAAGAACAAAATACTGAGACACAACATAGATGTATGACCCAGGCAACATATTAACTGCATGAAGCCAGACACAAAGGAGCCCAGGCTGCATAGTTCCATCTACATGGGGCTCAGGAACAGGCAGCTAGTTGACCATAATAGAAGCCAGTGGGTCCCTCTAGCCGACAGTGTGGTATTGACTAGGCAGGGACACAAAGGAAACTCCTGGGGGTGCCGGAAATATTCTCTGGCTTGATGTGGGTGGTGATTACAAGGGTGAAGGTATATGTAAATAAATCATCAAGTCATACACTTAGATGAGTGTACTCTGGGGATGTTATTCTGCAATAGGAAAGTTAGATGAAGAAAAGAAGCTTATTATAAAAGGGCTTCTGAGATTCTAATTAGTTCCTTTAAACTACCCTGTAGCTTTTGCAGCAGAACAGGGAGGCCCACATGGCCTGCGTTTTCTTCAAAATCCCAGAGGATTCTAATTTATGGATGGAGGCCCAAGGCAAAGCCAGTTACAGCTGCATGCCAAGGAGCTGGCTTCTTGTCTGGACCTGATGGGGTCTATGTCTAGCGGAGCAGACCTTCTCAACAGCAGGATGGTGGGCACCACCCAGAGGGCAGCACTGGTGACCCCCTCCCCCCGAGTGGCAGCCTGGACTTGCTTTTCCTCGGCTTCCTGGAACCTGCCCTACCCAGCTGCTGTTTCCAGCACTTAAGGCTGAGAGCTGATCCATTCCTCCACTCCAGGAAAATATTTGTTCAGGGACTTGGCACCCGCAGAAGAGGAAATAAAAGCCACCTTGGAGTCGAGCAGGCGGCCCTGCTGCAGGCTGCTTTGTCTGCCACTCCAGACTGCCTCATTGCTGGGGGTGTCTGGGGCAGGGAAGAGAAATGCCACCTTGCAAATAGGCCAGCACTAGAGATGACCTAGGTGTCAGCTCTTTCTTCAGTCCCCAGTCATCTGCCAGTTCATCAGCTCAGGTTGACAAAGCCTTCTCCAAGCCAGGCTGAGCACTGGCCTTGCATTGCTTTCCAGGCTGTTGCAAGGGCATGAGGGAGGTTGGCCAGTGGGAAGCCATGACCGCATAGGAGGGACATAGTGGCTCTGAGGGGGTTGCCAGGAGTCAAGCAGGGTGATTCTGCCCCTGAAGGCAAGCATGAGGTAGGCACCCAGAGTCAAGCTTCAGGAAGAAGAAGGTCAAGTGAAGGGCATCTAGGAGAGGGGGGCAGGTAGAACAGCATGGCATGGGAAAAGGCCTGGTGGCAACAATGCCCAAGAGGCTTTGAAAGTTGATGAAGTCATCTAAACTAGGGTTGGTACAGGTACCAGAGAGGGGAAACTGGAGCAAAGGCATCCAGGGAACCTCCCAGTTCATCTGTTTGAAAGTATGGACTTTATCCCCAGGGCAGAGAAAGTGTGTGTTTGTTGCAAAGCATTTTAGCACATTGATTTAGATTTTTTTTAATATTCTTTTTATTTTATGTGTATGAGTGTATTGCCTTCATATAGCTAGGTGCACCCATTGCTGATGGAGGCCAGAAGGGGTGTCAGATACCCTGGACCTGGAGTTATGGACAGTTGTTTGCTGCCATGTGGGTGCTGGGTCTTGAACCTGAGTCGTCTGCAAGAGAAGCCTGTGCTCTTAACCACTGAACCATCTCTTCCCCCAATTTTGGT